CTTCAGAGGTGTATACATTAAAATTACACTAAAGGGAGGTGTGATGGCAAAAAACTCAGGAACCCCTGGTCTAGAAGCAGAGCAGCACAGACACCATGCATGGCCCACGACTTATGAGCACCTTTAGAGGTTTCAATATGTTGTGAGAATGTTCTACCATGCTATTTCTAGGAAACACTTTTCTCCAGTAGGGCAGATAGTAACTGCTCTTCAGTACCACATCATTGATTCACATGATCGGTATGGGGAAAGGGGGAGCTATTTCCCCCATCCTAGAATCTGTCTAATTGACACTCCATTTATTTAAAGCTGATAGATTCATGGTGGTTATATGAGTGCATCTCTTGGGTATTGAGGAAGTTGGTCTCAAGTTTGTTTTGGTTTGATATGTTTTAGCCACAGAATTTTGTTTTAGTTATGGCTTTCTTTGAGGCACCACAGAACTTGTTTCTAACTAGTTGCTGGTTGGTTGTCAGCCAGATGCTCGGTTACTTGCTGAAGAGGAAGGCAAACAAAAGGAAAAGCTGCAAAATAACAAAGAAAGAGATAGGAGAGAACAGCTGGAAAAAGCTTATTTGAGAGGAAAACATGCCTTAAAGATGGTTCAACTGGCAAGAGTAAGTAAAACATAAATATTGTGTGCGTTCAAATGCAAGTAATAAAATGAGAATTAATAATTGTAAATGATATCGTAGCTTCAATGACTTCAAGAGAAAATTTAACATCGTTTTAAAGTATTTTGGGATAGTGCATTGATGCGTTTACCCTTAGCCTTCAGATTCATAGCTGGAATGTACTTTCTGCTGTCAAAGGGGAAATATAGCTGAAGATTTGGAAAGCCACGCCGCAGTAATTCAGGCCTGGGGGAAGGTAAGGTTTGGTGTTTGAGGCTATAAAAGTGATGAAACACAAACACTTCAATATCTATGGGTGAAAAGGTTGCTATTAACTATGTTGAATGGTTTGCAAGTAGTGCAAACTGAATCTTAAATAAAATTAGCTATCTTTTCAACATGACCTACTTTCAGGCAATTTTTACCTAATGGCAATAGCCAAAACTTGTATGGAATTCTTAGCAAATTGTTCAGCATTAAACTGGTATTAAGAAAAGATGTATGATGCCTCAGTGATTGTTTAATGTATTGATAGATAAATGTGTGAGGCATTGTGGTGGTTGAGGATGTGAATGTACATGTACTTCTGTATGCAAATGATGCTGTTATTGGTTGAGAACCCAAATAATTTGTGATGAAATTTAGTTAGATTATATGATATAGTGAGGAACATGGATCTAAACATTAACGTGTTGAAGACCAAGATTTTTAGTGTTTGTCAGGAAAATGCAGTAAACAACTGCAAGTTATACCTATATATACTGTATAGAAAAGCTAGAGCAAGTGAATAAATTTGTGTATCTTGCTGGAATGTTTCTTCATCAATTTCCCCTATCAGATTCTGATAAAGTAGTGGTCTATTGCAAAGAATAAATGTTTGTCAAAGGAAGTGAAAAATGTGTATAAGAGTGTGGTTCTGCCTACTTTGTTTTATGGATGTGAGGCTTGGATATGTCAGGAGAGGCATAAAATATGTTGGATGTGCTGGGAATGGAATTATTGTGTAGTAAGGCAAGAAGAGATCTAATCAAGAATGAATGTGTTCTGAATGAAGGTGAACTGACTACAAAAGTGAGTGACCAGTATAAAAGAAGTGAGTTGAAGTGGTTTTGTCATATAGAGAAAAGTAATGAGATTTACTTGTTACTGACACTTAGTACCAAATATGAACAATTCTGTTTGCTATTTACAGTAAAGCAATAACCCTAGAGATGAGAGACAATATACAGGTGCATAAACAAAACAAAACTTTTCTGATCAGTAGCTGTTGAACTCAGTGAGAATGAATGTCTGTCTGTCTGTCTCACACACAAACACACACACACAGACAACAGCGAAGGCTTTTTTTTTTTAAAGCACAAACATATTCACACAATTAAATAACCTTAGTTGCCTTGCAAAAGTCTCACGGACCAGCTTCCATGCTAAATTCCTTTAGTACCTCTCCTGGCTGGTTCCTCCCTCCTTCCATTTCCTACTCTTTTTTTTGTCCTTGATCTCTTTACCCAGCTGTCACACACTGGGAGCTCCTGGCATTCTTGCCTTCAGGGTCCCATCCCCCCAGCCCAAACATTGGGCAGGATATAAATCAAATACAGGTAGTCCTCATTCAGCAACTGTTTGAGGTTACAACGGAGCTGAACAAGGGGACTTACTACTGTTCCTCATAGTTGCAGTGTCGCAGCATCCCTGCAGTCATGTGATCGCAATTCAGGCACTTGGCAACTGGCTCACAATTACAACAGTCGCAGCGTCCTGCGATCATGTGATCTCCATTTGCAACCTTCACTGCCAACTTCCAACAAGCAGTCATTGGAGAAGCTGACAGGTCACAAATGGTGATCGTGTGACTGTGGAATGCTGTGACTGCGTGGGATTCGCTAACAACAGCAACTGGTCACGTGACGCCACACTTTATGACTGTGACACTTAGCGATAGAGTTGCCAGTCCCAGTTACTGTCGTTAAGCAAGGACTATGTGTAATAATAACCCCTTTATCTTATTTTGGGATCTTCTGCCCCATTTCTTTCAGTTTTCCTATATATCTCTGTTCTGACTCCTGCTAATTACAAACCTCCAACACCCAGATTCCTAGCACCCAAGTTATGTCTGTGCTTCTCATAGCAATCCCCTACCAGTCTGTACCAGCTAATTACAATCCCTTGGGTTATGTATTGTATATAACCAGGAAAGTAGTAAGGTTGGTAAATGAGTGAATGACTTCCAATTTGCATCTATGTTGGTATGTCTTACATCTAGATTTATGTAGAAATACCTTTCTTTGGTATAGATAAGCTCTGTAATCTGTTTCATAAGTTGGTTAAAATGGAAGTTTATATGTTTTTTGGCTTTCTGTGTTAAGGGTAAATGTATTGTGATATTTACTAATTCAGGAGACACACTAGAAAATTGAGATATTAAGGGAGAATTATGTGGGTTTACCTTTCCAGAATGCTTAATGTAATTTTAATGTACCTGATGTTGCGGAAAAAGGAAAGCATTAATGTTTCATTTTGAGTAGCAATTAACAATATATGTCTTCAGCATACAGGAAAATCATCAGAACTGAAGCTATCATTTCATAATGATGTATGACTAATAAAAGTCTGCTTTTGGACCATAAATCATGTTATAATAGGGCTCTTTTTAAAGGAACTTCCATGTTGGTATTTGTAGTAGTAAGTTCTATAAAATAATTTGCTTCAAAATAACTTACAGTTCTGTATATATTACATTAACATCTATATGTGTATTAAAACTCACCCCATGATTTACATAGCAAAACCTTTTTTCTCATTAAAATGCCTTCTCTGCATTTCACTTAGTTTCTTTCTGAGATATTCCTTACAAAAAGCTATCTTTCTCAAAACTGACAGTGACATTATGTCAATAAACTGGTGGTTTTTAAGAACCACTTTTTAACTAAATATCTCTGCTTTAAAGGACAAAGAAAAGTTAATGAAAGAGCTTGAACAGATGCAGACTATTGACCTTGCCCACAGAAGGCGGATTGTAGCCCAGATGCCGCCACAACTATTTGAACCAACTTATAGACGTGTGGAAATCAAAGAAGAATGGCAGAGGGAGCTGGAGTGTGCCTTTGAAGACATGTATACTGGAAATATGAGTGAGCATCATTTAGAACAGTAGCCTTTTAACTATATTTGGGGGAACCCAGAAATTCCTCCAAAATGTGGCAATTCTCCAAGGAAAATACTGTTTTGCAGTGATGAAGTCCAGTCACTGCCTCACATAAGTTGTGTGCATACTCTGGAATATGCATTCAATTTCTGCAGTGCAGTTATTTATTTATTTTTTAATTCACATGTCTCCTCAAGAGACACATTGGCATATTGTCATGTTCAGGTAGTCCTCACTTTACCAACCATTCATTCAGCAACTGTTTGAAATTACGACCGTGCTGAAAAAATAACTCTATGGCCAATTTATGGCCATTTACGACCTTTGCAGTCATGTGATTGCCATTACAGTTGGTACACATCCTGTGCATGACCTGTGGTTTTTTTGTTTTTTTCCCCCCTTGCAGAGCAGAGAGTGGAGAGGAAGGGATTGAAAGAGAGTAAGCTGTTTGCTCTTCTACACATCGAAAGCAATGTGATCACGCCACCAGCCCAGAGCTGGCAGCCACAGGTATGCTATGCAAACAGCTTACAGTACTGTCTCAAAATATTTTCTTCTCCAATCTCTCCACTGTGCAGGGGGTGGGGGGGAAGCAAGCAGTTTTTGTAGGTAATCTCTCCTTTGCCTGCCCCTTCCCCTCCTCCGCTCAGGTAGAGTGGAAAGATTGAAGTAGAAGGGTTTTCAAGAGATACTGTAAGCTGTAAGCATAGTGTACCTGCAGCTCCCAGCCTGGGGCTGCCGGCGTGATCGCATTGCTTTCGATGTGTAGAAGAACAAACAGCTTTCTTGCAATCTGCAATCACTCCAATCTGCTAGGGGAGGGGAAGGGTCAGGCAAAGGAGAGATTGCCTGGAGAAATCATTTGCTTTTTTTCTA